GGCTTTCGCAATAGCTCGTCGGGCTCTTGGGAACAAGCCCTAGGGGGCCACGGCTGCTGCATCAGCAGCAGCAGCAGCAGCTGCTGCTGCTGCTGCTGCTGCTGATGCAGCATCCGTGGCCCCCTAGGGCTTGTTCCCAAGGGCCCGACGAGCCCCTGCGAAAGCCCCTCGCTCTGGGGCAGTTCAGTTTAAAACCAAAAAGCCAAGAAATAGCTGCGGCTGCTTTAGTGGCTTTCTTAAAACAGCCCCAAAAGCAATTTCTCCCAAGTCCTTGCGGCCTCCGGGGGGCCCCCTAGTGGAGCTAAAAGAGAACCCTAGGGCCTCTCTGCTGCCTTCAGGGGCCCCAAGGGCCCCGACGGACTGCTGCAGCCTCTGGAGGGCCCCAGGGGCGCCTACAGACCGCTGCAGCCTCTGGAGGGGCCCCAGGGGCCCCTATGGACTCCTACAGCCTCTGGAGGAGCCCCAAGGGCCCCTCAGCTACAGCAACAAAGCGGCAAGCCGCGGCCCCACAGCAGCACAGTGCGGGGCCCCACAGCCGTTGGAGACCCCCAGGGGCCCCAGTGGAGGGACCCCAGCAGCAGAACTTTCAAGCCCGGTACCTCATGGCTAGCTGAGTTAGAAAGGCTCGAGTGGCCTCTAGTTGGGGGCTGTCTCCAGGGCGGAGGCGTTCTGCTGCCACCAGCTGGAAGGTCAAGAGACGCTCCAGCGGTAGCAGGTTCTCCAGCTGCAGCAGCAAGCAGCAGCACAGCCCCGCAGCAGCAGCACGCTGCAGCACGCAGCAGCAGCTCAGCCGCCACCCCCACAGGCCTGTGGGATGCGCCTGCGCGCCCGGGTGTCTGTACAGCGCGGCTGCTGGGGTGTATATACAGCTACATCTAAACGGGCTCGAGCTGCTGTAACAGTAGTTGTTTTTAAATAATTAAATCTAAGTGCATTTACAGTTACAGCTAAGCGGGCTTAAGCCGCTGAGGTGTATGTACAGCTACAGCTGAGAGGGCTCGCGCTGCTGAGGTGTACGTACAGCTGAGGGGGCTCTGGCTGCTAAAGTGTACGTACACCTAAGCGGGTTCGGGCAGCTGCGGAGTATGTGCAACTGAGGGTGCTCTGCTGCTGCAGTGTATGTACAGCTGAGAGGCCTGTGCCCGCTGCGGTGTATGTACAGCTTCGGGGCCTCTGCTGCTGCGGTGTATGTACAGCAGAAGGGCCTCTGCTGCTGCAGTGTATGTACAGCTGAGGGGCCTCTGCTGCTGCGGTGTATGTACAGCTGGTGGGGCTCACCAGGTAGTCCTGGGCGAGCATTTGGCGCAGCAAAAAGGCCAGAGCGTCCAGCAAGCTGGCAGCAAATTGGGGGTCGTGGGGGCCCTTGAAGTAGAAGTTGATTTCTTCCCGAGAGTCTGGCAGCAGCCTGCGAGCCCCAGCAGCAGCCACCAGAAAACACATGCAGCAATGAAGACTCCTTTGCTGCCCAGCAGCAACTGCAGCAGCAACTGGAGCAGCTAGAGACGACAATAGGCCACTAGGTGCAGCACAGCAGCAGCAATTCAGAAGCAAAAGCAGCTGCTGCACTCTCCCGGGCAAATTGTGGGGCCAAGGAGAGGGCGCCCCCACAGATGGGGGCCCCCCAAGGAGAACTGGAGGCTCCAGGGGGCCCCCACGGGGCCCCAGAAGACAGCCAGAGGCCGCAGAGCTCACCTGAGTTGCTGCTGCATGTTGTTAAATGCATGCATGGCTTCAAAGAAGCGCTCGGAGCTCAAGAGAGAAAAGAACAAGCCGCGAGCAGCCAGCAAGTCCAGCCGGCGGGGCACTCTTGCGCTGCTTCGCTGCACAGCCACAGCAGCAGCAGCAGCAGCA